GATTACTATGGGTTATAAGAAAGATATAATCTCAAAAGAGAAACAACACTTCGTTTGCTCACGATCTCTTGCATTCTGTGTTGTTGTAAAGTATCCACTTTTCAACTCCCGACTATGGCTAAGAAACCACAGCACAGCTAATGACACTAGAGTTACAAAGCGTCATACTTCTGAACAGAAATATCATGAGAACAGAATTACAATCTGGAAACATCTTAATGTTTTCTATTAAATTGTCAAAAAAGTTTAATTCTTTTTTATATTATTAGATAATTTGTTTCCATTCTGGAATTGAAAAGAAAATAAGCAGAATATGTTTATAAAGATTACCTGCCTTGATAGAATCGGTTCCTGGAAATTTAGGATGCCACCACTTTTTCTTTTTGGATAGGCTATGTGCAGAACCTTCCTTCATTTAAAAAAAATATTCATGAACAGTGTGAAACACACTTTACATATGAAGATAGATTTAACGTTATTAAAACATCGGCAGCAGGATGTTGGATGTGGTTAATGGCAGAATCTAACAGGCCAGATTTGGTACATTGAACTGCAATGGTGTCATGCAAAAAAATTCTTCAGACTGGGCAATGGATGAAACCTAATTATTCGGAGTTGCAGAAACACATAGAGCCTTGTCTCTCCTTGTATGAGTGTATTGTCGCACAGATCCAAGGGAAAGAACTCTTGCTTGTAGTGGGGAACGGAGATACGCAAGTGGAATAAAATGTTCTTCCGGTCTAGTAGAATATTTTTTCCGCCCTTAAAAAACTTCTTATATGTGCCTTGTTCCTACAGAGTGTTGGCGGCCATGGCTCTCTACAATTTTCTTTTGTCGCCCTTAGAACATTTTGTCTTTTTTCTATTTTTTTCTAATCCTTGTTCTACCAACCATTTACACAAGCTCCTTAGGTAGGTTCTCCGCTGCTTTCCTATGTCCATCTTACTTTCAATCTGCCCTGTGAGTATCAAATTTTCCAAGCTCCCTTCCATCATTACGTGCCCTAGAAATTTCAACTGTCTCTTTTTTGTGTTAAATATAAATGTATTTTTCCCATTTTCTTTGAAACTTCATTGTTGTTCACATGTTCGGTCTATGGTATTCTTATTGAGACTTAACCTCAGTTGAATGATATGCATATAATTCTGTTCGCAGATTCTGCTCTCATCTATAAACTGTATACCTATAAAGCATATAACCTTGTTGGTATCCTTGCTATAGTCCATGAGAAGTGTGCCCTAGAAATCTCATCTGTCTCTGGTGCTATGCATAAGTGACATTTTTGTTTCCAGTTTCTCTAAAACTTCGCCGTTGCTCACGTGTTCAGTCTATGACATTCTCAGCATCCTTCTGTAGAACCATATTTTTGTTGTTTCCAGTCTCTTTTTCATACTTTGTGTTTAAAAAGTAATCGTGAAGCTATCATTAACTCATTTTTAATGTCATGTCTCTCCTGGACGTGTGTAATCGTCTTGACTAATAAAGCCAAGTGAACATTTGTGATTTTTGTGTCCTTTGGGTGATCTTCAGCTGAATTATGGAAATTTATTAATGTTATTTGTACAGAGAAAGATTTTTTAAAAATATCTTTCACATTTCTAATTAAAAATTAGTACTTTAGGTCTTGGTTTGCGGTGAAGAGACACAATTTCTGAAAGGAGCTGAAATTTTGCATTTAAACTTCTTTTTTGATGATTTTCAGTGCCAAAAATGGATTCAGCACCCGAAAACATAAGCCTGGATAATGATTTTTCTGAAAAATACAAAGAACGTCATGTCGAAAAACTGATATTTGGTGCCTGGCATATGGTTCCAAAAGCTTAGGCTTGGAAAATTTTATTCTGACGGGACATTTTGAAGGCAAGAGGGACAGAGGAAAACAGCGTATGACCTACTAAACGAGCTTAGGTAAATGGATGGCAGAACAGGGGATATAGTAAAAAGATAAATTTTACTAAGGGTTACAACTGACAGAAAATAGTGGAGAGCCATAGTTGCCCACTTTGTTTTTTTAAAGTTTAAAATATCTTTTATAAATAATTTTTTAATAACTTATATATCTTTTAAAATATATGATATATAAATACCATGATCGCCCACGCCCATTCTTTTAGGTGGGTGACAAAATATTTCACTTCACTAGATCATCTATCGGGAATCCTCTTAGAGGCGTTTCCGTTGTAAATATAGTATCAATTTAACGTATGAAAGGAACTTTTTTAAAGTTTAAAATATCTTTTATAAATAATTTTTTAATAACTTATATATCTTTTAAAATATATGATATATAAATATCATGATCGCCCACGCCCATTCTTTTAGGTGGGTGACAAAATATTTCACTTCACTAGATCATCTATCGGGAATCCTCTTAGAGGCGTTTCCGTTGTAAATATAGTATCAATTTAACGTATGAAAGGAACTTTTTTAAAGTTTAAAATATCTTTTATAAATAATTTTTTAATAACTTATATATCTTTTAAAATATATGATATATAAATATCATGATCGCCCACGCCCATTCTTTTAGGTGGGTGACAAAATATTTCACTTCACTAGATCATCTATCGGGAATCCTCTTAGAGGCGTTTCCGTTGTAAATATAGTATCAATTTAACGTATGAAAGGAACTTTTTTAAAGTTTAAAATATCTTTTATAAATAATTTTTTAATAACTTATATATCTTTTAAAATATATGATATATAAATATCATGATCGCCCACGCCCATTCTTTTAGGTGGGTGACAAAATATTTCACTTCACTAGATCATCTATCGGGAATCCTCTTAGAGGCGTTTCCGTTGTAAATGTAGTATCAATTTAACGTATGAAAGAAACTTTTTTAAAGTTTGAAATATCTTTTATAAATAATTTTTTAATAACTTATATATCTTTTAAAATATATGATATATAAATATCATGATCGCCCACGCCCATTCTTTTAGGTGGGTGACAAAATATTTCACTTCACTAGATCATCTATCAGGAATCCTCTTAGAGGCGTTTCCGTTGTAAATGTAGTATCAATTTAACGTATGAAAGGAACTTTTTAAAGTTTGAAATATCTTTTATAAATAATTTTTAATAACTTATATATCTTTTAAAATATATGATATATAAATATCATGATCGCCCACGCCCATTCTTTTAGGTGGGTGACAAAATATTTCACTTCACTAGATCATCTATCGGGAATCCTCTTAGAGGCGTTTCCGTTGTAAATATAGTATCAATTTAACGTATGAAAGGAACTTTTTAAAGTTTAAAATATCTTTTTATAAATAATTTTTAATAACTTATATATCTTTTAAAATATATGATATATAAATATCATGATCGCCCACGCCCATTCTTTTAGGTGGGTGACAAAATATTTCACTTCACTAGATCATCTATCGGGAATCCTCTTAGAGGCGTTTCCGTTGTAAATATAGTATCAATTTAACGTATGAAAGGAACTTTTTAAAGTTTAAAATATCTTTTATAAATAATTTTTTAATAACTTATATATCTTTTTAAAATATATGATATATAAATATCATGATCGCCCACGCCCATTCTTTTAGGTGGGTGACAAAATATTTCACTTCACTAGATCATCTATCGGGAATCCTCTTAGAGGCGTTTCCGTTGTAAATGTAGTATCAATTTAACGTATGAAAGAAACTTTTTTAAAGTTTGAAATATCTTTTATAAATAATTTTTTAATAACTTATATATCTTTTAAAATATATGATATATAAATATCATGATCGCCCACGCCCATTCTTTTAGGTGGGTGACAAAATATTTCACTTCACTAGATCATCTATCGGGAATCCTCTTAGAGGCGTTTCCGTTGTAAATGTAGTATCAATTTAACGTATGAAAGGAACTTTTTTAAAGTTTGAAATATCTTTTATAAATAATTTTTTAATAACTTATATATCTTTTAAAATATATGATATATAAATATCATGATCGCCCACGCCCATTCTTTTAGGTGGGTGACAAAATATTTCACTTCACTAGATCATCTATCGGGAATCCTCTTAGAGGCGTTTCCGTTGCAAATATAGTATCAATTTAACGTATGAAAGGAACTTTTTTAAAGTTTAAAATATTTTTCCGAAAATAATTTTCTCACATTTTGCAGATGTAAATTGTTTTAATATTTCAGAATTTACATTAAAAAGGAGAAATAAATTGTCTCGGCCACTTTTTTTTTAATTTTTTTTTTTAAGTGTTATTTATTGTTGGGGGGTCACAGTCAAAAATGCAGGCAAAATATGACAGACAATTGTGTTGACTGAATTTTTTTGTAGATTCGAAAAATCCAATTGTTATAGGCCATTTTATTAAGTGTCAAATTAAATATAGCATTCATTCTATCTAAATTCTAGTAACTCTCTTAGCAAAAAAAAAAAAAAAAAAAAGAAGAAAAAGCAACTATCCAGAACTGATTATTTAAAAATAAATGATTAAACACGTATGATTTCTGTCTGAATTTCTGGGTTGAGAAGTTATCATTATTTACGCTATTTACATTCGGACTATTGTCCTCATCTTTGTTGTTGTTACAGCAACATTTCGGCCGTGTGTTCTCCGGCCTTTATTAAGTGTCTATCGATCTGGACCGACAGGGAAATCTGAACTGAACTCTTTATTTAATCTACGGGGATAGACTGCTCTCGTCCCACTGCCTATGTCTAGGGATATCGCCTTATTCTTTAGTACTATTTAGTTATTGCTCACCCGTTTCCATTGAGACCAACAGCCTTGTAGATTAAAGCATTGGTTTGTGAATTTTGGTGACATAGTAATTGTGAGTTCAATCCCTGGACCGGGGACTATGGATACAGCGGAAATGGGCAATTAATAACTTTAGTGATGGGGTGGGGAAGAAATGGCGGATTCAAATCTTTCCTAAGGGTAAGTGAATATAAGGAACCAAACGAAAATTGGAAATCGGCTCTCCGATTAACAATTCCGAGTCATTAACCATTAAACCACCCACACATACAGTACCTGGTATTCCAAAGTGGTCACCCATCTATGTACTGAGCAGACTCGACATTGCTTAACTTCGGTGATCGTACGTGATTTAAACGTGATGTGGCCATAAGCCCTTATTATAAGCGTTTTCATGTCACAATGATGAAGATGATGATTATGCATGCGATGCCAAATGGGAACAGTGTCACTATTGCTTTGATGTGGAGTGTCATGTCGTGGTGTAATGGTTAACAAGCTTGTCTTGCGAATCCTTAGTAGTGAGTTCGATTCTCACTATACTTTTGACCTACGCTTAATAAATAACAATTATTATGGTGTAGACTCGTGATTGAAATACTTAGGAATTTCTAACTAGTGTCAGATGATAGTTTTCGAGTACAGGGAAAAGGATTTTGAATGCTGATTTTCTAAGTAGACAAGCCCTTCCCGCCTGGGAGATTAGCCTAATTAATACAGTCTTCCTATTCTCCCTTTCCTTACTATAAACTTGGGTCTTATTAAATTAAGCTTGACACATACCACTTCTCTTTGGTAATTAATAATGCTAGCACCATTCAGTGTTATCAACACAATTGGAAAAGCAAAGTAGACGATGGATGAATTAGAAAGCCGAGGAACAGCAAAACCATTCAGAGGGCAGCATTATGGAAATCGGTATGAATACTGAGCAAATTTGCTGTCACTTAATCTGGCAAAATCTCACGATATGACTCCGATTATAATGTCAGGTTTATCAAATTCAAAATTTATTGTTATTTGACTAGTGTCGAATAATAGCAAACTATTATTTTTTAGAGGAATGTTATCTCAGTTGGGCCTTCATGAGATTGACCTTTGGGGTCAGATGGAAGACAAAATAAGGAAGTGATTTTGATTGGATGATCTAGCGTGGTAAAGGAGATAGATAGAGAAAGGTTTTCCAGTGAGTTGTTTCTTAACCGTCTAACAATGTAGACGTGTTTCCTTTCGTGCCTGAAACGGCTCCCCAGTGGAAGGAGAGCGACCCTACTGGATAGTTAGAAAATGCAAACGTCGATGTGATTAATAAAATAGTTAAGTTAAAATTCCCTGTGTTGAAGTTCTTTTTATCTCTGAAACATCTAGCAATCACCGGCCGAAAGAGAAGAATGCAACTTTATTATTGAATTGACGCCGTCACCCAAGAGCTCTCCAGCACGAGGTGGGGCTATACAACATTAGTATTTATTTTCATTTTAACTGCTTTTTATAGCAATTTTAATCAGGCTGTCAATAATATAAAAAATGACAGTGAAACCATCAACCTTCCCTCTACAATAGAGTATGGTTTATTTAAATGATTTTCTAAGCGTGGCACCCAGTGAGGATCGAACTCACTATACAGTCGTAACTGTTCTAGCGAGACAAGCTTGCTAACCACGTGCCAAGTTTGATTAATTCAATAATTGTTTCCAAAATGTCTTTTCTATTCGCTTAACGATAAGTTGTATTTGCAAGACAACGTGTAATACCTTCTATAATAAAGTCTTTCCTCTTTCTCAATCTTTATTTAAAAATTGTTTTACAATAAAATCTTTGCTCCCACTCTCTCTACTTAATACTTGCTTGTACACTATTTTACTCTACCTCTTCTCTTAATAATTGCTTTTACAATACAATCTTTGCCCTCTCTACTTAATAATTGCTTCTAAAATAGTATTTACTCTCTCTCTCTCTCTCTCTCTCTTAGCTTAATAATTACTTCTACAATACAATCTTTGTTCTCTCCCTTACTAATTGCTTCAAAAATACCATCTCTCTCTCTCTCTCTCTCTCTCTCTCTCTCTCTCTCTCTCTCTCAATAATTGTTTCTAACATGGATAATACATTGAAATGAGAATACGGAGAGTCAAGTTCGACTTCCAGTCGGGTTCGTTACGTTCATTTACACGCAAATACTCTTAGGAAAGTATGGATCCCTCTCTTCTCCTAAATATGGGTTAAATAGTAAGACTTTTAACCGGAAAAATCATTGGTATCTAAAAAAAAATTGTTAATGAAATATTCATTCGCAAAAATAAAAAAAGAATTATTCTTATAATCCGGAATATTTTTCGGTTTTAAATAACTTCCAAAGGGTTGATAAGTCGTAAAAAGTCAATAAATACAATCTTTGCTCCCTCTATCTACTTAATAATTGTCTGTATTGTAATACATTATTTTTGCTCTCTCTGTCTCTCTCTCTCTCTCTCTCTCAATATTTGCTTCTAAAATACGATCTTCCCTTCTCCCTCTCAGCTTAATAATTGCTTCTATTATACAATCTTTGCCTTCTCTCTGAGTAATTGCTTCAAAAATACAATCTTTGCTCTCTCTCTCTCTCTCACCCACACCCCCCACACACACACTCCCACTCTTAATAATTCATTCTGTAGCACAATCTTTGCTCAATAACGATTTCTTTACCTTTTATTTATTCTTATTATAAACTTTAAAGAATTTATTGTTGTTCTCACTCTCCCTCAAAAGTTATATTTTTAAATGTGCCCCCCACCCCTTTTTAAATTTGCCGTGAAATTTTTTATTCAATAATAAAAACATAACAATAAAATATTATAAATGATTTTCATTTTGGGAATATTTTTTATTCTAAAAAAAAAAAAATAAAATAAAATAAAAAAAAAAAAATTTAATTATTTTCAGGCATTTTTTCTTCTTTCGTAATTTTTATGCACTTTTGAAAAACCATTGTCTTCTTTTTTCATTCATACTTTTTTTCTAAGCCTCTCCCTGCCTGTCAATTTCTATCGCTTTTATTATTCAGCGATGTTTCTCTGCTAGAAAAAACAAACAAAAAAACAAAACAAAAAACAAACAAACAAATAAATAAACAAAATAAAACAATAAAATAATGATAATCATTTTAAAAGTCAGTGCGCAATAAAAACAAGAAAATATTGGGGATGCGAAAGCCCTTGTGAATTTATATTTAAACTAGAAAATGCACGTTTATCAATGGAAAAATAATGAACTTTGAACTCAAAAGAGGAGGTCCTATAATATTTTTGCAGCTAACAAACAGGATTTACACATCTCCGTTTCAAAACATGCCATCTCCATCTAACATGCGCTCATCGGCTCTATCAGATCAATACTACTACTACTACTATTACTACCACTATACAAGACAGGGTAGGACATATTCTTGCTTATTCACTCCTCCGTTTTTCAGATACAAGCAAAAACATTAAAAACAAGCTTGGTAAAAGAAAAAAGAAGTTTATCACGCAGTGCTGTTGTGTTTTTAAGAAAAGAAGAAAAAAATCCAAAAAAAGGTAAAGAAAAAGAAAAAAATACGTAAGATTTTTGTCGCATAAAAAAACACATTTATTTAAAAAAGAAAAAAGAAAAGAAAAAAGTCATTAACTTTTTCATTCGACTCTGGGATAAGAAGAAAATTGTGTCAGCTGCTGGTGTCCAATCCACGAGGAAAGAAAAAAGAAGTCATATTGGTTAAAGAAGATTTACTTTTTAGTAAGTTTATAAAAGTTATTGAAGTCTCGAAGTCAAATGAAGTTAAAATTTACAAACAAAAGTACTAAGAAGTAAAACAACTAATTGGGATATATTTTGTATTCACAAACTAAACATAACCACATTTTATTTTTTGTTGTTGCTTCTTACCTGGATTATTTGGGAGATATCAAAGAAAAAACAAAAAAACAAAAAAGTTTTGTGAGCTTCTCAGGTAAGTGATTTTCTTTCCTTGCTTATGTTAAGGTTAAGTTGAAAATGTAAAAAAAAAAATCTATAATAGTTTGATTTCAGAGGTTTTTTGTATTTTTTTTAATTAAGTATAGTTAATTAAGTATTAGTCAATAATTGGTAAACAATGAGTTTATTATTTTAGGGTAAGAATAATAAAAAAAATAAGAAATAAAAACAAATATTCATCGTATTGTTTTCAATTTTAATCTTTCATTTCTTTTTATAGCACGTTTGAAAGTGGTATTTTTAATTCATTTTGTTAGTTTGAAACATTTCATGAATGTACACACCGCGTTCGTTTGTTACTTGTGTGGGTTCAGCCTTTTTTTTCTGAAATTATTCTATCATCTGTTAAGAACTCGCTCAATGAAAATTCAAAAGCTTTAAGGCTTAAATAATTAAAAATTGATATTGCTAAATTCGACTACTTTTCTTTTCTTTCTTTCATTTTTTTTTTTTTGAAAGGAGGTCATTAGAAAATAAACTTTCAGTAAGATGAACGTGTCGTATCCACTTTAAGTAGTCAAACCCAATATCAATATAACGCGTATGTTAATCACTGAGCGTCCGTTTTTCTCTCTCCAAAGACATTAACAGACAGCATACTGAAATTTGCTCAAAAAAAAAAAAAAAAAAAAAAAAAATTCTAACAATCGATTTTTTTCTACTACCATTTGTAAGTTTGTTAGATGCGGAAAATGACTAAAAAAAAAAAAAAAAAAAAGTTGAGTGGCTAAGAGAGAAAAGTAAAAGAAAACACCGAACGGTGAAAAATCCTTACCCCTACCAGGTTCAATTGCAGTCTGTGACAAAATAAAAACATTGTTTACAAACATTTCCCACTAGAGCAATAATTTATTATACTAAAAATAAATCATGATCGGAGGAGAGTGAGGGAAGGTTTCACTTTTATGTTAAAATTCGTTCTGTGATGCGCAGAGAATGTCGTCCTTATTTTCTTATAAATTGCTGACAACAACAATTCACTCCACCCGAAAATTTTAAAGCGTTAAACGACAATAAAAAAAAGAAAGTGTAATTTATAGAATACTGGCCATCAGTGTCCCCCGAAAGAAAAATAAATACAAAATAAAATATCTCTACTACTCCTTCGACAGAACATTCACGGAAATTACTTGCTAATTATCTCCCTGGAGAGACGCTTAAACAGTTTTTTGTTGTTTTGGAAAATTATGCATGTCTTAAGGGAATTGATATCATTTCATCCCGTCGACACATATTTTGTCTTTTTTTTTCCTCCTTCATTTCGTTTATATGTAGAAAAATCACTTAAATTTATGTCGTTGTGTATAAATGTCAGTTGAAAAATTTAAAGCCTCTGCTTACTCACTCCAAAAAAGAGAGAGAGAAAAAAAA